AAAACATTAAAACTTTTTGCTTGATAACTGATGGTCTGTTGGTTACCAACTTAAAATTATCACTTTACTCATTCTAAATGCTACCCTACTATTGTTCTGCAACATCAAATATATTGTTGTTGTAAGCTTGTGTTACAGAAGCATTAACATACCAGAGAGATTTGGATATTCCGCTTGCAGGTTTTTCCCTTCCCCTAGCAAACACAATAGACACCTTAACAGGAACCTGTAATCTGCAACATAAAGAAACATTCAGATACAGAGCAGAGGTGACAGCAATAACTCTAACATAAATCTAATTTTGCATTTCCTGGTACAGTATGTCTAAAAGTTCCTGCAACTATGGTTGCTAAGATTAAATGCGTGTTTGTACCTGATATGCAGCTCCATCACAGGAGGATAATCAGACAGTAGAGCAGTCAGAACCACCAAACCCTCCACTGATGAGCAGCTGTCATTAATGCTGAGAAAAGATTGTAAAACATCAGCTAAATGTTGCTGGGTTTTATATGCAGGTATAGCAAAGTGCACAGCAAGCACAACACAAAAAATTGATTTCTTTTAAAACCTAGTCTTACATGAGCTTGTCAGTAATGCTGAACTTTGGCAAAAACTCAGTCAGTGTCCTTAAAATTTCTTCATCCCACTGGCCTCCAGACACACTAGAGTGCAAAGACATACAGTAAAACAGCCACACACATTGACAGGCCTTTGGCTAGCATTCATTTACCAATGTAATATGCACACAGTGTAGTTTGCAGATTGTTCAACTACTTTAACAGAGGGAAAACATTAAGTCAACAACTAGTGCATTGTTGCTATTCTATTCATTACTGATGTTGTCTGTGTCATAAGCTCTGAATAGGTTTTTCTAATTATGAAGGTGTGTACTTATGAAATCTTACTCTAGGACAGACAGCGCAGGGCATCGAGCCAAGGATTCAGCAAGTTTCTGCATCTCAGACTTGTTCCAATTCTGGTTCAGCAAGCTGGAGAAAAATGACACCATCATAATGCAAACGTCCATGATCCAAAAACCTCAAAAATACTAAACTGTGACATTTAGAGTCCCATTTAAATCAACATCCATTGTGGCCTTGCTACATGTATATCTTTGTACTACATTGTTGATGCTCAATAAAAAAATTTAAAAAAAAATTAAAAATAAAAAGATAAATCAACATCCACATAAACGTCCTTTCTAGTCAAGATCTTTTGAAGCCAAAAAAACAAACAAACAAAAAATAGTAAAGGTGAATGCACATTTTGCTGACACCCATTTAAGATCAACGAAGGTGTAAAGTTCATCAAGGAAACTGGCAAAGCTCTTTGGTAAGGCAGTTACGGTAAACTGACTTATTTGTTTCATATCTTACCTGATTGTTGATTCAAGTATAGATGTATGGCTGTAGAGCAAAAAATATAAATATATCAGAATTTTACTATGTTCATTTTATTGCTTTATTTAGTTTATAAGCATAAAAGTCACCTGTTCATATCTGACTTTTGGAAGAAAGTTACTGTCAAGTCTTTGATCCCCCTGCAAAGAAAAATAACCTGGACTGCAGTACACATTTATGACACACTTATGTTTATCTGGTCTTGTCATTATAACTTTATCAATATCAATCAGCTACTTTGAATTTCAGGAATCTCAAATCTATGACTGAGAAAATATTAATAGTGCAGTGAGCATTACTGAGTTAAAATGTGTGTAATTTTTATTTCATTTAAACAACAATCCCTGTGCCTTAACTGTGCCTTAACCGCCACGTTGTGTGCATGTGTGTGTGGTCTTACTCTGCATGAACATGTTGGATGTTCAAACATGAAGACATCGTTTTAATAAGACAGTCGACTGCATTCAGGGTTGTGCTGTTTCGTCCCAGCCTACAAAGAAGCACACACACA